TACCAGAATTTTCAAAGTGATGTAGAGAGTGCTATTTCACTCTCAGTGGATATTTTGGTTTGTATTGAGGATCCAGAACTCCAACCTCTGACTGGATTTTGATATTTTATTCAGTATCCTGGAATTACCTTCAGGAAATCTTACACTTGGAAGGTGAGTTAAGTGGACAACCTAGGGGATATGCCTCATGATTTCAACCTCATAAGATTATATTAGCGTAACAACAGAATTTAAAACACAATTGATCTGTTTCAGATTTCATTTTTTGTACATATTTATTTTTCCCTCCTAATGCTCACATGGGAATGGGGAGCATAGAGGTTTCCTTAAACCAATGATAAAAAAGAAATGTGATATTTAATCAATTATTTAATATTTATTCAGTCAGTTCATGTCACTCAGCTGTGTCCGACTCTTTGCAACCCCATGAACCTCAGCACACCAAGCCTCCCTGTCCATCACCAACTCCTGGAGTCCATCCAAACTCATGTCCATTGAGTCGGTGATGCCATCCAAACATCTCGTCCTCTGTCATCCCCTTCTCCTCCTGCCCTCAATCTTTCCCAGCATCAGAGTCTTTGTAAATGAGTCAGCTTTTCGCATCAGGTGGCCAAAGTATTGGAGGTTGAGCTTCAACATCAGTCGTTCCAATGACACCCAGGACTGATCTCTGTTAGGATGGACTGGTTGGATCTCCATGTAGTCCAAGGGACTCTCAAGAGTCTTCCCCAACACCACAGTTCAAAAGCATCAATTCTTCAGTGTTCAACTTTCTTTATAGTCTAACTCTCACATCCATACATGACCACTGGAAAAATCATAACCTTGACTGGAAAAAATATAACCTTGACCTTTGCTAACAAAGTAATGTCTCTGCTTTTTAATATATTGTCTAGGTTGGTCATAACTTTCCTTCCAAGGAGTAAGCATCTTTTAATTCCATGACTGCAGTCACCATCTGCAGTGATTTTGGAGCTCAAAAGATAAAGTCAGCCACTCTTTCCCCATCTATCTGCCATGAAGTGATGGGACTGGATGCCATGATCTTAGTTTTCTGAATGCTGGGTTTTAAGCCAACTTTCTCACTCTCCTCTTTCACATTCATCAAGAGGCTTTTTAGTTCATCTTCACTTTCTGCCATAAGTGTGGTGTCATCTGCATATCTGAGGTTATTTATATTTCTTCCACCAGCCTTGAATCCAGCTTGTGCTTCTTCCAGCCCAGCGTTTCTCATGATGTACTCAGCATGTCAGTTAAATAAGCAGGGTGACAAAATACAGCCTTGACGTACTCCTGTTCCTATTTGGAACCAGTCTGTTGTTCCATGTCCAGTTCTAACTCTTGCTTCCTGACCTGCATACAGATTTCTCAAGAGGCGGGTCAGGTGGTCTGGTATTCCCATCTCTTTCAGAATTTTCCAGTTTATTGTGATCCACACGGTCCAAGGCTTTGACATAGTCAATAAAGCAGAAATAGATGTTTTCTGGAACTCTCTCGCTTTTTTGATGATCCAGCAGATGTGGCAATTTGATTTCTGGTTTTTCTGCCTTTTCTAAAACAAACTTGAACATTTGGAAGTTTATGGTTCACATATTGCTGAAGCCTGGCTTGGAGAATTTTGAGCATTACTTTCCTAGCTTGTGAGATGAGTGCAATTATGCTGTGGTTTGAGCATTCTTTGGCATTGCCTTTCTTTGGGATTGCAATGAAAACTGACCTTTTCCAGTCCTGTGGCCACTGCTGAGTTTTCCAAATTTGCTGACATATTGAGTGCAGCACTTTCACAGCATCTCTTACAGGATTTTTTTTTTTAGCTTTTTTTTTTTAATTTATTTTTATTAGTTAGAGGCTAATTACTTTACAATATTGTAGTGGTTTCTGTCATACATTGACATGAATCAGCCATGGATTTACATGTATTCCCCATCCCGATCCCCCCTCCCATCTCCCTCTCTACCTGATTCCTCTGGGTCTTCCCAGTGCACCAGGCCTGAGCACTTGTCTCATGCATCCAGCCTGGGCTGGATTGAAATAGCTCAACTGGAATTCCATCACCTCCACTAGCTTTGCTTGTAGTGATCCTTCCTAAGGCCCACTTGACTTCACATTCCAGGATGTCTGGCTCTAGGTGAGTGATCACACCATCATGATTATCTGGGTCATGAAGATCTTTTTTGTACAGTTCTTCTGTGTATTCTTGCCACCTCTTCTTAATATCTTCTGCTTCTGTTAGGTCCATAGCATTTCTGTCCTTTATTGAGCCCATCTTCACATGAAATGTTCCCTTGGTATCTCTAATTTTCTTGAAGAGATCTCTAGTCTTTCCCATTCTGTTGTTTTCCTCTATTTCTTTGCATTGATCGCTGAGGAAGGCTTTATTATCTCTTCTTGCTTTTTTTTTTTTGGAACTCTACATTCAAATGGGTATATCTTTCCTTTTCTCCTTTGCTTTACGCATCTCTTCATAGCTATCTGAGTCCTCCTCAGATGCCATTTTGCTTTTTTGCATTTCGTTTTCTTGGGGATGGTCTTGATCCCTGTCTCCTGTACAATTGGTTTAGTATAATTGTTATATGACTGCAGAATTTTCTTCAGAAATCTTGATTACATTGGTTATTTAAATATGTAAATTAATATGTATATTAAATTAAGTGAACTGGATGATAGTTATTAGGAAATTTTGTGAAGTCATAGGGCATCAATATATGTTTTACAAGTCATGAAATAGTTGCTGGAGCAGAAAATTGCATATTTTTCACAACCTATTATGAGAGGCTTGCTGACTAGTGGGATTTGGATATTTTACTTTTCTTTATATTGATTTTCTGCATTTTCTAAAATTTCTCTAAAGTTTGCAGTTACTTTGTTTAAAAAATGATAAATGCTCAACTTTCCCCCTTTTCTCCATCTTCTTTACCCTCTTACTTTCTTCTTTCCTTCTTTTCTTTATTTTTCTTTTCTTCCTTTCTTCCTGAGAGAAAAAAAACAGAAACATAAGAAAAATAAACAAGATGGATTCCATAATTAAAATTGAGCAACGTGAATTATTCCTCAAATTCTGACTCACTCCCCAAAACTACTCATGTTTATCAAAACATAAATATGTGATGAAGAAAAGCTCCAAACATTAAGGAAAAACTCTTGGATGCTACTTAACAAAGATGCTTTATCTGAACTTCAGAAGTGTGGAACATATCAAATAAAAATTGTTCTAATATTATATTTTTAAGTCAACTTCCTTTATTTTTTTTCACTATGCCCTTCTTAATTGAAGATATCAGTAATGCTTTGATAATAATGTAATCTGCTGGAATTTGAAAGACTAGTAATGATTTAACAGCAGCCATGACCAAGTGGTACCTGTAGATATTTAAAAGAACCCAGTTATATCATGATGTTTCCACAATTATGAGACTTCGGCACTGTTAACAAAGTTGAAGATTTAAAAGGTCTTCACAAACGTTAACAACAGTCAGTTTCACTGCATTCACTTGTAACATTCAAATCAGACAGGCTGCAAAAGCAAACAGAGAATGAGAAGTTAGAAACCCTAACTGAAGACTTCTGGTTTAAAATGATATCTGCAGGGAGAGTGAAGATGATATTCAAGACTGGAGTGGTTGAGGTGAAGTATAGAAGAGACAATGGGCCTGTGTACCACAGCTCAACAGTTTTTTAAATACAAGGACTAAGATTTTGAGAGACATATTTTGGAATGGTGTGGGACTCTCATCATCATACAAAATTAGATCATGTCAACTTTATTTCAAGACATATCAGCATAAATCTAGGTCAGTGAATGTTTCAGTTAAGTTCAGTCTCTCAGTCGTGTCCGACTCTTTGCAACCCCATGAACCGGAGCACATCAGGCCTCCCTGTCCATCACCAGTCCCCAGAGTCCACCCAAACCCATGTCCATTGAGCCGGTGATGCCATCCAACCATCTCATCCTCTGTCGTCCCCTTCTCCGGCCCTCAAGCTTTCCCAGCATCAGGGTCTTTTCAAATGAGTCAGCTCTTTGCATGAGGTGGCCAAAGTACTGGAGTTTGAGCTTCAACATCAGTCCTTCCAATGAACACCCAGGACTGATCTTTAGGATGGACTGGTTGGATCTCCTTGCAGTCCAAGGGACTCTCAAGAGTCTTCTCCAACACCACAGTTCAAAAGCATCAGTTCTTCAGCGCTCAGCTTTCTTTATAGTCCAACTCTCACATCCATACATGACCACTGGAAAACCATAGACTTGACTAGATGGACCTTCACTGACAAAGTAATGTCTCTGCTTTTTAATATGCTGTCTAGGTTGGTATAATGTTGTATGGAATATTTTAGTGTGTAGTTTATTTCTCAAGCTCTGAGCTCCACTAACAATGATCATCTTTACATAGCTCATTTTCTGCAATAGAATCAACTTATTATTCGGTAAACTCAAGGCTAGGTTTAATGTTCGAGATTACATAGTGTTTTGCCCTACAATTTTCTTCCTTAACAAGGTAACTGAAATTCAAAAAGATACTCTCTGTTTCTCTCTCTCTCTCTCTCTCTCTCTCTCTCTCACACACACACACACACACACACAACTAAAAAAAAGACCCACTCTGATCTTATAATTGTTATCATTTCAGAACTCTTACTCTTTTTTATTCTGCTTGGTCTCTGACTTAGCTTGGCTGACCTTAATTACCATTCACTTACTTCTTTACAACTAATTTTTGGATTCCAGTACCTTTCCAAAATCCATAGTTTTAGCCCATAATTTTTAAGAGCATAAGACTTAGAGACACATCCATAGTTTTTCAATCTCACTTTATACCTCTCTGGCTTTGCAGGCTTGAGATATTATGCAGCTGCTCCTCTGAAGGGTTGTCCACAGATGACATAAATGCTCCCCAACTGCAAGCCCAGTATCCCTGACTCGTTTTCTTTTTAAACACTAACGGAGCCTTCTCTCCACAAACCCTGACTTGTGCGTCTAATTTTTTACTGAAGTTTAACTTAATTCAGAGTTTAAAAAATGAGTCTCTCTGGGTGATCTGAACTGTTCCCCAAGCAACCATACCTGGGGTCCAACCCAGCCTTCTCTGTTTTTTCCCCAAGCCTGTGGCCCAGGGACACTGCGGCACCATCGAGGCCTCACAGGGATGCTCAGACCTGGCCTGCCCCGTGTTTCCATCTGCCTCTTCTCTACGCATCTCCACCTGGCCTCTTAGCAGCCCCTCCAAGTGGAATATCTCCCTTTCTAGCGCCCTCCTTTGCTCATGTGTACATCTTCTGTCTCTGACCAGGACTGAAAAAAAAAAAAAAAGAACCTGTTCCTCAGGCCTCTGGCAGAAAAGCATCTATTTTTAACTCAAGAGGACAGAAGCCCTCCCCCAGCCTCCACATGGGGTATTTCAGAGCTCGGCCTCAGCTGACAGAGCTCCAGGGAAGCCTCCAGTACCTGCCTCATGTTGCCCCCACGTCGGGAGCCAGGCCACAGTTCTGTAGCTGCTCAGCTGGGGCCCAGCTCCAAGCCGCTGCCTGGGAGAGAAGACCCCCACCTCCCCGTTCCGTGCAGCCCAAGGCCCAGGGAATGAACATCAGTCTCTGGAAGTTCGTTCTGCCCATTCATTTCCCAGCTCTATTCACTCCACCTCTCTGGGCCTGATTTTTCCACCTGTGCAGAAAGATGTTAAGTGATTTCTCCAAGTGGCCCTTTCAAGCCTACAGTGACCTCAGTGCCACCCTGGTGGACGCTCTCTTCCGGGCTCTGGTAATGCAGAGAGCTCCCTTTTAAAAGAAAGCTGGTTCTATTACTGATTTTTTTTTTTTCAACCATAAATTGATTGATGGACTGATATGGAAGCTAAAAACTTAACTGAAGTGGTCCAGAACTGAGATTTGAACCCAGGCAGTTTGACCTTAAAGTGCTTCTTAAAATTAGGTTCTTTGTCTTTTAAATGGTATAAAATTGTGAGGATTAATGATAAAATGCATATAAATCTACTTGACTGTACAGGTTTCATAGTACTTAATAAATTACAGCAAAACTCTTTTAAGGACTGTGCCTTGATTTCTGGTATATTATGTGCCAGAAAGTGGAGGTCAACTTGATTTCTGAGTTACTTTGATATTATTTTCTTCCTTTTTGTTACTGAATAAATCAAAATTATCACCAAGATATGATTAATTGCAGTGCTTATTCAGTAATATAGCCTGATAAATTGAATCCTTTCTAATATCACTTTCTAGCAGCTTCTTCAATCCCAGTAAATTATTTTCTACTGTATCTTTATATTCCCTCTGCTTTATTTTCTTCTGGTTCATATTTGAAAATAATTATAAAACATATGACTGTTTTTGATACTGTATATCAACCTTCTCTTTTCTGTTTCTTGAGTTGAATATAAAAAGTTTGCACTATACGTGCTATTAATTCTACTTTTCTGATATGCCATGTCTGCAGTGCATTACTCCTGATTAGAATTATATTATGCTATAAAGATATGTCTTCTCTTCTTAATTTCTTCTTTAATTTTAATGTTTCTATCTGTAGCAATTTCACCTTTTTCTAAAAGAAATACTTCCTCATATTTTATTGATATTAGAAAGTACATGCATTTAGAATACATGATTAGAAGTACATGGTATGATCCATCCCCTTATATGTATTGTTAATGTAATTTTTCTGAACCATAAGAGCCTCTTGATAAAAGTGAAAAAGGAGGGTGAAAAATTTGGCTTAAAACTCAACATTCAAAAGCTAATATCATGGCACCTGGTCCCATCACTTCATGGCAAATAGATGGGGAAACAGTGAGAGACTTTATTTTCTTGGGTTCCAAAATCACTGCAGATGGTGACTGCAGCCATGAAATTAAAAGACCCTTGCTCTTTGGAAGAAAACTATGACCAAACTAGGCAGCATATTAAAAAGCAGACATTACTTTGTCGAAAAAGTCCATCTAGTCAAACCTATGGTTTTTCCAGTAGTCATAAATGGATGTGATATTTGGACCATAAAGAAAGCTGAGTGCCAAAGAATTGATGCTTTTGAACTGTGGTGTTGGAGAAGACTCTTGAGATTTCCTTGGACTGCAAGGAGATCCAACCAGTCAATCCTAGAGGAAATCAGTCCTGAATATTTATTGGAAGTACTGATGCTGAACCTGAAGCTCCAATACTTTGGCCACCTGATGGGAAGAACTGACTCATTGGAAAAACCCTGATGCTGGGAAAGACTGGAAGCAGGAGAAGGGGACAATAGAGAATGAGATGATTGGATGGCATCACCAACTCGATGGACATGAGCTTGAGCAAGCTCGAGGAGTTGGTGATGGACAAGGAAGCCTGGTGTGCTGCAGTCCATGGGGTGGCAAAGAGTTGGACATGACTGAGCGACTTAACTGAATTGAACTGAACCATCTAGAATAATGTATAAGCCATCACTGAACATTCCTATGATATTCATTTCATTCACCACTGAGGCTCAAAAACATGAGTTAAGATTTCCTGTTTATTTACATATTTTTGCCTTTAGACAGTGAGGAAGGGTTTAAAAAGAGTTGTGAAATTAATGGTTGAACATTATCAACTTCACGATTTCAGAAATTCTTTTTCACTATGATGGAAATAGAATTTAGTTTCTTTTTTTCTTTTTTGTCTTTCCTTTCTCTTTTCCTCCTCCTTCCTTCCCTCCCTCCCTCTCTTCCTTCCTTCTACCTTATATTAATTTCAATGACTTACACAAAAGTTATGACAAATTTAATGGCTTAAAACACCAGACAGTTATCATCTGGCATATAGTTGTGTAAATTAGAACTTGAGTACTGGTCTCACTTTCATAAAATAAAGGTATATGAAAGCCTTCATTACTGTGTAGAAGCTCTGGAGAAAATCATCGTGGCCTTGACTTTCCTAGTTTCAAGAGGCAACCTGCTCTCCTTGGTGGTGACCCTCTTCCTCCCTCTTCAAAGTTAACAACATTGTATCTCCCTGATTATTCTGTAGTGCTTCTCTCTAGCCATGAGCTCATTAGAGCAAGTTCTCTATTTTTAAGAAATCTCATAATTAGGTTGGGCAGGCCTGGATCATCCAGGATAATCTCCTATCTTAAAGTACATGATATAATCACATCTGCAAAATCTCTTTCACTGTTTAAATTAACATATCAGTTGGTTGCAGAGATCAGGACTTGGATACTTTGGAGAGGCCATTGGTCAGCCTACCACACAATGAAGTACATTTTGTTGAAGGAGTATAGTATATAAATATTATCCAGCAAAGATCAGTGGCTAATATATTAATAAATTTAGGATAGAATTTTTTAAATCAGTTTTAGCAATCCAGTTAACCAATTTTTATATATAACTAAGTTAATTTTCCCCCATTAACTTTTTAAAGGAATATCTTGTACACAGATCCTTTGGCTGTGTGCTTCATAAATTTTGAATCTGGATACTAGATTATTTGCATATATTTCATGTTAATATCAAAGTTTTGGAAATGGCTAGATTTTTGAGTAGTGGTTCATCTTTTAAAAATACAAAGGAAACACATTGTATAACACCAACAATATTGGGGATAATTTGAATTGCCTTTTCAGTAGGAATTAATTGCTATGCATTCTAAAAAATAGCATATTAAGGGAAATAAGTGACTTTTGGTTAGAAAAAATGTTTAAGAGTGTGTTATTTTTTCCTGACCTTTGGGACTGAGGGCTTTAATTAACTTCTTAACCTCTGTGATTGTTAAATAGAAAAGATATGGTTAACTTTTTTTGGTAGGGGAGTATAGATCATAAGTAACCAACACAGAGTGAAAATTCAGTAGCTATATGAAATGAGAAAATTGTAAATAGTCATTTCTTTTAACTATGTGTCATTGTGTGTATTCTATGCATGAATGAAACCTTCACATACACAGAACAAAATTGATTTTTATCAAAAATGGCACAGTATCAGCCTCATCTAGGCATATCCTTCTACTTAGATTCTCTTTATCTTCTGCTCAGTCATTTATGCCTCCATAAAATGTCAAATATCATATGCTAAGTATTTAGCACTTCAGTTATCTTCTAAAACTTGCAGATTTATTTATCAGTAGAGCTAGCATAAAATTCAAAATCAATATCCAAGTTAATTTATAAATATGTAAAAACAAGCAATAAAAATCAAAGTGAGATCTTACTTAAATTTTTTATAGTATTGATTTTGAGTATTATATCTCTCTTTCATGGTTTGTTCTATTTTGCATCATTTTGATTAATTTGTTCCCACATTATTGAGTCTCTTTTCAGTTTTCCACTGTGAGAAATGGTGAAGCACTGAACATCCTGTTACATGTCTCCTAGGAGTGCAATTTTTAGGTCACTTACACTTTTACTGAGTGGCTAAAATGCTCTCCAAAACAGCTATCCTTAGCTGTATTCCCACCAGCAATTTCTCAGAATTATGTCTGTTTTGTGTTCTACCTGTTCTCTGTACCTTCCCATAAAAGTTGTGTGTGATTGTGCTGTTTTGCTATGGTTGTTTTTTTTAGTCCCTCAGCCGTGTCTGGCTCTTTTGCAACCCCATGGATTGTAGCCCACCAGACTGCTCTGTCCCTGGGATTTTCCAGGCAAGATTACTGGAGTAAATTGCCATTTTCTTTCTCCAAAGGATCTTCCCAACTCAGGGGTTGAATCTGTGTCTCCTGCATTGGCCAGGGGTTCTTTACCAACTGAGACACCAGGGAAGCCCTTTACTTCATCTACAATACTTATAACTCTTTGCTATAGGCTCATCTTAGCAGTCACGTTACACTTGACAACTTGCCTGCTTCTTTGCTTTGGGATGGGAGAGATGTCTGTCATGCCCGAGTATCTAGCTTTATTCCAGTGCGATTGGGATTTGAATGAACTGCTCGAACAGGCAGTCTCCACTGAGGGCATTTTATAGCTTTCCCTAGTTGTCAGCTTCCCAGAGCACAGTCCTGCCTTTCTTATCCCAGAAAATGCCCTGTTGTGGATATACAACCTCATCCCTTCAGCTCTTAGGTGGGTGCAGAAATGCATGGCAATTAGCAGCCTATTTCCATGCTGGAAACCTAACTTAATCAAATCAGTTGTCTCCAGGTGCAGTGCCATTGCTCCAGATTTCTCTGAAATAACTCTGTAATGAAGAGTCTGACTCTGTTTTCTGATGTATGACTGTTGACAACTTTTAAACCTCACCCTCTGTCTTCTCACTCTGCCCTTCATCTGGACTTGGGGATGAGAATGTCAGATGCTCCCTTCTCTGGCTAAGTGGGAGACTCAGAGCTTATCAGCTCCTGCCTACCTAGGAAACCCCCACCCAGGCTCTACACCTAACCTCAATGA